TAAAAATAGTTGTAATAGCTAACCCAATATAAAGTCAATAAAGTATTGCCACAAGTATGGCCTTAGCAAAAAAAAAAAAACTTTAATCTTATAATCTTAAATTTATTTTACTTCTAAGTGATATTATCTAAGATTAGAGTTGAAAGTATAATAAAAAATTTAAGCATGCCTCTTTTTATTGTGCCCAGAACATGCCTCTTTATATATCAAGTACTATAGTATAACCTTGATATAATGAATTCTTAAAATAACAAAATGTTTAACAATACAGTAAGTTATTTGTATAACATAAATAATATAGTACATATATATATAATTTCACTATAACGAAACTTCAAAGCTATATAGGTGTTTGATTCGATATATCAAGGTTTTGATCCATTAAGGTAACTTATTATAACGAATATACATATGTATAACTATATACAGTATATTCGTTATAGTAATGGATCGAAACCTTGATATATCGAACCAAGCACCCCAGCCCCAGAGCAATTAGTTCTAATTTTAAAATTTGATTAGCTGTTATACAAAATATATATTCTTAAAGTAGTTGCTAAATCTTGTAACTAATTAGCAAACTGCTCAAGGGCATTTCTCCTAAGGCATGCCCTAGGTCACTGTGCCTCCAACTCTACCTAGGGTGAAAATTAGTATATTATTTGAAGATTCTTAAAAAAAAGAAATCACGCACGTACGTAAAATCAGATTATTCAGAGGCAATTTACAGGTTTTCACTCATATTATAACATATCAGACCAACTCTACATATGCATATAAAGTTTATCTAAAATTAATTTAGTAATTTAGTCTTTAATTAATTTTATTGGCTAACTATATCTGTAGCAAAAATTCAGTTAGCCAAAGATTTTCAAAATTGGCTTTCGGGCGTTATTTTAAAGATGATACAGTAATCACACTGTTCATTTAATTGATTAAATTTTTTTAGAAAAGTAAATAAAGTAGATAATCATTCAACGATTAGTTGTTCCAATAGATTTTCAATCCGTATAGACCGAAATTTGGACATGGTAAAATTAATATAATTGGCCGATCCGTACACTAATCAGAATGAATAGGATTATAATTGGTTGACCAAAGTGTTTTGTAGGCCACGTGTAAGTCAAGAATCTACTAACGGATATCATTGTGTATTGTGTAATAGTGCTATCATTTGCCGGCGATTTCAGGTAAATTAATACTTGTCCCAGCCGTAACTCAGAGGTTCTGTCGACAAAAGAGACTACTTTCAACTTTAACGTTTCGTTACGAGGCAAAGATGAGCGGTGTTGGATACATTGGGTCCAAGATCAGTCTCATATCAAGATCTGATATACGTTACGTAGGCATACTTCACAGTATCAATTCTGCAGACTCGACTGTGGCTCTTGAGCAAGGTTGGTTCTTTATAATTACCCTTTTTTTTAGAATTTTCATATTTGTCTTTAATGAGATGTTGAAATATGACTGAGGATGAGACAATCGAACTTTTCTACCGGTTTTAAAATCAACCGCTTTTGCAAAAGCTTCTTTATTAAATCTATAGTTATAGCGTATTTTTTAAAATACCTCCAGGATGATCTCTAGCTTCCTTCATGTAACTCTTAGTAATCTTATATACTGGATTAAGAGTTTTTAACAAGTTAATATCAAAAAGATAAGAGGTATAATTTTAAAAGCATTTAATATTCATACATCTTTTCTGTCATGATTAGTTCGCTCTTATGGAACAGAAGGTCGTCGAGGCAATCCTGCTGAGGAAATTCCTCCATCAGACAATGTTTTTGAATACATAGTGTTTCGGGGTTCTGATGTGAAGGATTTGCACGTTTGCGAAGCCCCAGCCCAACAACAGTCAATGCCACCTCAAGTTCCTAATGATCCTGCTATTCTTGGGGTAAGAGTTTAGATAATGTGTTAAAAAAAGTATTTTGCATGCATAGTGGATTTAATAAAATGTTTCTTAGTATTGTTTTGTCTTGTCAATGTTGGATCCTATTTGTCATGCAAAAGAAAAAGAATACGTTTAATGATGAAATATTCTGGATGTAAATTACGTCTGAAGCGCAAAAAAAAAAAAAAAGAATGCTGATATTTCCATGTTGCCTTCCTTCTGATTATTTAAGACTAGTAAACGAAATGTTATTTGAACATAAGATAAAGCCCATTTCTAATAGTTCAAAATTCTGTTTATTGTTATATTATGCAGACTACTGCTCCACGACCTCCAAATTTTCAAGGGTTTGCCCCACCACCACCGTTAGGTGTACAACCACCTCCTAACTTTCCTGGTGCTTCTTTGAATCCTTTTTATCTTCAACAGGTTGCTTCTTTTCAGCAACAACAGCAGTTTTGGCAGCAACCACAAGTTCCACAACCACAACAGGTGTGTCATCTTAAATAAATGTTTGGTTGAAGCATTTATAGAGTAAATGATCTTTTAAATATTTATTTTATTTTATTTTATTTTTAAATATATATTCGGTTAGCATACAAAACTTGTGAAAAATGTATAGTTCTTATTCTACTTTATTTCTGTTTATTTCAATGATTCGAATTTTAAATTGTTTAAAATTTTTTTTTCATTTATGGTATAACAGCTTAATAATATTACCGAAAGTCTTGCGAAAGAAGCTGAACAGCCAAAGTCACAGCAACAGGTCTGCAATTTTGGCAGCAAAATTTACGCATGATTAACCCTGCTCCTCGATGGACCATGTTTATACCAATTCCTAACCCTTGAATATTAGAAAGAGCATGGTACACCGGACAAAGTAGAAGACCATAAAACGGAAAAGAAGACTTCAGTGACCAAAAATTTCGTCAAGACGGGAAGTAGTTCCCGGTCATCGGCACAAACAGCAAACTCTAGGAACGAAAGTGCAATAGAAACGCCATCAACGGCCATGGCCGTGGAGAACTTGGCCAAAAAAGTCAGCGAATTAAGTATTACCACGAAAGAGGTTAATGGAGAAAGAGGTATATTATTTGGATAGTTTTTTTATAACTGTTAGTCATTTGTACGTGTAATTCATTCATTACAATGTTAATGTAATTCTATTTAAATGCATACCCAATAATAGTTATGGGCAACAATCGTTCTGTATCAAGCAATAACCGACTTCCTGGAATGGGAGGTCATCTTGTACAACAAAATCGCAGAGGTCGTGGCAGTAGAAGAAACTATAATCAAAGTTATGATCGTAATAGAATTCCTGTCCCACAATCAGATTTTGATTTTGAATCGTCAAATGCCAAGTTCAACAAAGACGACCTTGTCAAAGAGGTTGTTAAAAAAATTATTCCTAACCATGATCTAAAGGAAGAAAATTGCGCAGATGGCATCGAACTTGGCCCAGAAGAAGAGGAAGAAGAAGTTTTGATACCACCTGCTGAAACTTATTATGATAAGGCTAAATCATTCTTTGATAACATTTCTTGTGAAACAAAAGAACGGATGGAACAACAAGGACCCGATGGCCGGTTAGCTTTTTTTCTTCTTTTTTTAAAAAAAAGTTTATTCTAAACATATATATAAATTTAATAATTCTGCATATTTACTAATTGTTAATAGAGGATTGTCTGTAGCTGAGCGAAGACAGAAACAATCTGAAGAAAGACGTCTGAATCTTGAAACTTTTGGGCAAGTTTCGATTGACGGTGGAAGATATCGTGGTGGCTATCGCAGTCGTGGTTATAGGGGAAGTCGAGGTGGATATCGTGGTGGCCGTGGAATCCGTGGCGGATACACTAACAACTATCGGGGGAATAATTTTAGGGTATGTTTTACGTTTATTTCTGTGAAAATTCCATCATTACTATCATCGCTTACATTATGCGAATGTTTCATAGCAACAGATTCAGCAACAACAATCATGAGCCGAAAAAAAAAGCATATATTCATGGCGATTTAGATATTTTTATTTGATATTTTATATTTACGATCACGGATTTCTTGCTTGTTTGAATCTTTGTTGTTTTTGTTATTCAAAATATCACATTCACTTTTCATACCTATCATCGGATTTTTTAATATCTAATCAGATTTGTATAAAGAAATAATGTGAAGCAATATACGTGTTAACGAAGGAAGAAAAAAAAGAATAACAATGCATAAGAGAAAAAAAAAGAGGGAAATCAAATAAGAAAAAAGGAGGCTTCACATGTATAAAAAAAAAAAAAAAAAACAAAAAAAAAGAAAAAAGGAAACCTATTATACATAGTATTTGACATGTATTTATAATTTGTAGTCTAGCATGGTGAATTTTTTGTTTTCCTTGTATTCAAATTTTCTTCCAACATATATATCGTATATTCTCTACAAAAAAGAAAACAGATAAAGACAGGCTTACTAAAGGTTTGATTTATTTTAATCATCGTCTAGATAATATTAAATTTTGAAGTGTGTTATTGTATGCTTGTTTTTGTGTATTTGAAATCGGATTTATTTGCATTTATACAAGTCGGATTTCAATTTTAAAAAATTTGCATAATAAACATCAGATGATATAAACCAAGACTAATTTTTTAAATATATAGTAATGCTTAAGCATTTATAACTTCATTATTTCATTTAAACAATGCATTTTTATTTCCAATAGGATTAATTCTTTTTTTGAATTTAGCAAACTATTGATGATTTTATTCCAATAAATTTGAAGAAATACCAACAAGCCAGTCACTTTGAATTACTGAAACATTTTTCATGTATGGTTTTGAAGTTAGTACCTGCAATTAAGGTCATTTGTAAATCAAGTTAAAAAAAAAAAAAAAAAAAAACAGAAAATAATTTTTTTTACCAATTCAGTATACATAACAGTTTCAATTTTTTTATTAAATAAAGTTGATGATGGATGTATGTTAACGATCTATTATAATAAAGAACAAATTTTATTTATAAATGATGACCATTAAAATTTAAATAGAACCAATAATAAAATAACATCAATAATGCGATAAATATACCTGATTACTCCCAACGGTTTTATAACCGTTGTTACCGGGTTGCAACATAGCAGAATTACGAAAAAATCCACTTAGTACACATTTTAATAGTATTTCATAATTTTCGCAACAAGTGCTTGTAGAAGAAATTTTCATTCTTGTACACAATTGTATTAATTGTTTTCTTACGCTCTGTTTATATATAAATTAACAAAATTAATAAAATGAATGGAACTTTAACTTGATTGTTAATAATACTTACAATAACATGTTTCATATTTCGTTTATTAACAAAGTTCTGTTTGCACCAATCCAAATCTCCTTTATGCGTTTCGTATGATCGTAGAACATTTAAATAGGTAATCAAATCACCAAGGGGAGATATAAATTTCTTTTTCATATCCAATGCATGATCACGTTGATCTTGAGGTGAAAAAAAAATAGAGTCAACTGAAAGTATTGAAACTATATTAATTACTTCACGTGTACAAGACATTTGCTATTAAAAAAGAATAAATGTTATTTAATTATTGGTAAAGTTTATCAGTTAATAATGATTTTTAAAATACCTCTGACATGATAAGGACTCTAGCGTATGCCGGTTCAAGAGGAAACTCTGACATTTTTCTTCCTAAATCAGTTATTTTACCATGGTTATTAAGTGCTCTTAAAATAAATAATTGCTCCAAAGCCCTTTTTACTATGTTCAAGACAAAATAAAAATCAATAATTTATAATTTAAAAAAAGCTTTTTTAAAAGAATTTTTTTGAAAAGCACAGCATACATAAGTTTCTTGACGGAGCATCTAAATAATCGAATTCAAGTACATTATCGATACCAAAAGCTTTTAATAATAAGATAATCGATGCAAGATTGCATCTTTTAATTTCTGGTTCAGTGTTTTTTTCCATTTTATTGTATTCTTCTTCCGTATATAGACGATAGCAAAACCCTGGAGCCTAATGATTGGAAACAAACAAAATAAAATAATAATATAATAATAGTAATACCAATTTTTATAAAAAAGCAAATGATCTAATATCTGTAAGCATATCTTTGTAACGCACCTCACGACCAGCCCTACCCATCCGTTGGTCAGCAGAATCCTTTGAAACATTTTCTATGGATAAGCTTTCCATTCCAACTCTTGAATTAAATATTTTCATTTTGCATTTTCCCGTATCTACAACGTACCTAACGCCATTTATCGTTATAGAAGTTTCCGCGATGTTTGTTGCTAGTATTATTTTACGAGTTTCTGGGGGAGAGGGATCAAAAACTTTCGTCTGTTGTTCTGTTGGAAGAGCCGCAAATAACAAACACGGAATTATCTACATGTACACATATTTACATATATAGTTTATAGAAATATAATACCAGTTGTTAAATTAAAAAAAATAAGATTAGATATGAAATTTGTACCTTTAGTTTATCCGGTGGCAAAGTCGTGTTGTATTCAGTCATTAATTTTTCAAGAATTTCAATATCTTCTTGGCCTAAGTACATTAAATATAGGTCAATTATTTATTATATAACAATTATTAATAGTTTATAATAAGTAGTCAACAACTTACCTGGTAGAAATACCAGAATATCACCAGGCGGTTGATTTGTATGAATTTGCATTGACGTAGTAAACGCAGCATCTAAATAATCAGGTTGAGATACAAAGCTGTAATTCACGCTCACCGGAAACTGTCGACCCGGAATTTGTAATATTGCAGTTCTAATGATGAATAAGTTAAGTCATTCTCGGCGAAAAACAAACGATCAATTCTTTACAATTAAATAATGACTCACGTATTAAAATAGTTGGCAAATTTTTGTGAATTTAATGTGGCACTCATTATAATTACTTTTAATGGATTACAAGATTTATCTATTTTTCTAGCATCTTGAACCTTTTTCACCATACCAAAGAGAATATCAGTACGCATTGTTCTTTCATGAGCCTCATCCAGAATTATTATACAATATTTCAAAAGCAAAGGATCAGATAGTAATTCTCGTAAAAGCATGCCATCGGTGAGATATTTTATAACTGTAGTGCGAGATGATGTATCATCAAATCTGACAGAGTAGCCAACCTTTATAAAGAATTATAAATATAAATAAGTATTAAATCTATATGTAAATAACATATAAATCTGATAAACACTAACACGATGACCAAGCTTCGTTCCAACTTCATTAGCAACTCTTTTAGCCAAACTTATCGAAGCGACTCTCCTCGGTTGCGTTAACGCAATAGCACCATCCGATGCCAGACCAGCATCCAACAAGAATTGCGGTATTTCTAATGAAGTCGCGATCACGTGATTTTCGATAAGAATTTAAAGTTTCGCGGGTTTTTAAATATTTGATACATACGGGTACTTTTGCCACATCCCATTTCACCCATAACGATAATAGTCTCATTTTCCTTGACAGCCTGTACTAATTTTTTTCGTTCTTTCAACAAACAGAAGTTCAGAAAATAATGATAACTAGGAATGTTAACTACGATAAAGAAAATGTAGAATACCTCTCCATATTGGAAGTTCTTTTCGAAATCCTTTTAATCGTTGTGCAACATTATAAATTTCTAAAACATTTTTTTTTATTTGTTTTTTATTAACGCGCTTATTGCTGACGTTCGTTAGATTCGAATTTTTTGAAAAGTCAAGGGTGTCATCAGCTAAAGAACGCCTTCGTTTTGATCTCATTTATTGAACAGGGACGATCCAGCAGCGGTTAATGCTAAGATAAATTCTTCTCAAGCAATACAATCAGCAGCCTCGTGATGATCTATGCTCAATTAGGTTTTTTTTTGGTCACTTGATTTCCAGAAATTCTACGGACAGAGAGCTTAGGGACAGAACAAACTCACGTGATATTATTAAAATTCCTCTTACCCTAACCATTAACTAACTATTCACGTGATTTGTTCTGTCCCTAAGTTCTGTCCGTAGAATTTTCGTCAAATTACAGAAAGAAGAGAGTCTTCGAACACCTACCTGTTAGGACATTTCATATAATAAAAATTATCCCTTAAATCGTATTCCAGACAAATTTGCTTGAAAAATTAAATTGTATTTAATATTTTTTAAATAAAATAATAATTTATTAATGATATGGGGTATAGTTTGTTTATGAAATATATTTTTAAAAACATTTTTTATAAATTTTATTATAAAACTTTTTTTAAAATATTAATAAATTTTTATGTATTAAAATTTTAAAGATTTTATTTAAAAATTTTTACTATTAAAAATTTTTTAAAATTTTTTAAGATTTCATGTTTCTGGAACTAAAAAAAAAATTTATATTTTGTATAAGTCTAAATTTTTATAAGTAAATTGCAAAAGTGTTACTAATAAAAATTATTATATTTTATATAAACTAAAATATTGTATTAAAAATTATAGGTTTAAAATTAATATTTAAAGAGTTTATCAAAAATTTATAAATAATTTTTTTGATTAAAAATTTTTTCTAAATTTGTCTATTTTTAGCTTATAAGTAATATATATATATTTTCTTATAATATAAAATTAAATACTACTATAATATAATTCTTATTTTTAAATTTTATCAAATAAAATTTTATTTAAATATTTTAAAATTTAAAAAAAATACAGAAACAAAAAAAACTTGTTTTGAACTCTTTTTTAATATTAATTATAAATAATATTAATTTGTAATCTTGTATTGACAATGTTAAAGAGAAATTCATAATTGTTTTATATAAAAGAAAAAAATAAGAAGACTTTTATAAAACAAAAAATTAAGCTAATCAGAAAGATTCTATATAGCAATCCTTATAATAAAGTATAGAATTTCTAAATCTAAATTTGTATTACTATTTAATTTTTATAATCAATTATATCAAAATCAAAATAGCAATCTTTACTATAAAAGAGTTAAACAATTAATAAAAATAATAAAATACTTTAACTTTTTTAAAATTATAAATTAAATTTAATTATATTACAAAAAACAAATCTAAATGATCAACAGAAGAAATCAACACTCTTTCTGCTAATCACTCAAACACAAATTCGGCAAGAAACAAAAATCAATTTTACACAAAAACGGCTATTTGAACCATCCTAGTGAACTAAGTAAAAAAAAAGAGCATCCAGAAAAGGTACAAGAAAAGAAGAGGCAACTAAAAAATAAATAGACTAACAAAATGAAAACAAGAGAAACTAAAAATTTGTCTTTTGAAAATACATATAGACAAAAATTTTGGGAAATTGGTACTAACCCTGTATTGCAGATTTGTTTTGATTACAAAAACACAAACACGTAAACAGACAAACAAACCAGTCACATAAGCAAACAAACCAGTTACATGCAAACAAAACAAAGCAGACATATACAAAAATAAAGCAAAAATATGAATGCACTAGAAGGATGTAGTGATAGTCTAATGACAACATATATCCAAAGAGCATACTGGGCTATTAATAGTATACACAATGAAGTATTCCTTAATCAAACAGGTAAAATATATATTATATCTGTTAGAGAAGACAAAATCATTGTTATGCTAACAGAACAGAATCCAAATGAGATTGCACTACTGAGATTAACAAGAGAATTAATAAGAAAAGCAGAAATAAAGCAGCTAGCAAAAAAGCTAAACATAGTAGAACAAAGTAATCATGCAATAATAATAGAATCCGCCTTAGAACAAACAGACGACACATCGAAAGAGCAACTTTAACTAATAAAATTAGAATTAATTCAAAAGACTAAACAAGAGCCCATATTAGAAGTAGATATAGAAGAAGGCAGGCAGCATAAAGAAAAAATACAACAAACTAACTTAGCAGCTCAACAAGAAGAAATCATAAAGAAAATGAGTCTAAATGCAAATTAGAAAAATTAAAACTTAGCATAGCAACAAAAAAGACAGAAGCACAATATGAAACAAAACAAGAATTCAAAAAAGAAATCGATATAGTAGAAGAACCACTAGAGGAAAGCATGCGAGCACCAAACAAAAGAAATTGCAACCAAAATAACAGTCAACTTGCCAACATACCAGCATATAACATGCCAGAAACAATAAAAGAAGAATATACAAAATTCATCAAATGGTCACTTAAAAACAATGAACATGTTAAAGTCATTAAAGAAGTCTTCAAAAGAAGTAACTTGTAGATAGAAGTAGATTTTGATTGCGAACATGGCAGAAACAAAGCAATCCAAAGAATCAGCAGAAAAGAAAGCGATTGGTATAAACTAATGCTAGAAGAACAGAAAGACACAAAAGAAAAACAAAGATTATATAAGAAAGAATACTGCAAAAGAAGAAATAGTACAATGAAAAAGAAGGAAGAGACACATGACAAGGAAGAAACTGAGACAGAAGATGACACAAATGACTACAAGTTGGATAAAAAATCTAGTGACAAAGTATACATAACAATATGGGACTTGCCAACAAACATTAATAGAAGGGAGCTAGAATATATCTGCAGAAGATTCAAAAATGTTCAAATAATAAGAATCAAAAGATCAAAATATAAGGCACTTGCAATTATGCAAATAGAAGAAGGCAAAAGAGAAAACATCTCATGGGCCATACCAGTTAACAATAATAAACTAGTACGAATAACTAGAGGAGAAGAAAACCATGAAGCAAAAGAAAAACAGAGAAAATATATGGCAAAGTTAACTGAACTACCCAGAAATGCCTTAGAAGTCTTACTCTTACGGTGTTTAAGAAACAAAGATGTTAAGTCAGTTTACATTCCTCCAAATAGAAATGGAAACCAGAAAAGAACAGCAATAGTAATGTTTACAACAGAAAAAGACATGAATGCAACCCAAACAAAACCAATTTTGTATAATAACTTTAGAGTTTACTGGATTAATGAAGAGAAAGTAGGGATGAGAAAAAGAGAAAATCATAAAGTGAAAAGAAGATGAAGTTGGGACAGATTTAGCCAAACCTTGGATGCAGAAGAGAATAAAAGCAATAAAGAGAGACAAAGAAATAAGACTTATGTGAACAAAAATAGGTACAGAAGAGGTATAGGCCATGAAAGTACCTTACTAAAAGAAAGAAAGAAATCCTAAAACTGGTATAAAAGGAATCAAGAAAGAGACAAATACAAAAAATAGAAAAAAAAGAATCATAAAAGAGAAACAGAAGAAGCAAAGACACAAAAACAAGAAAATGAGTTATACATAAAGAACTTCCTAGAGCAAATCTGAGAGTGACTAAAAAGACTAGAGAAAACAAAAAATATAGCTAGGAACAGCCTAGTAAATTGCTCCTAAGGGCACTATGGTTAAATCTACAAACATAAATAAGAAGATTAGAAAATTTTTGTATAGCGAAAGAAGAGCTTTCGAAGAAAGAAATAGAGACAAGTCTTCTAATCCAAGAGAGGAAATAAAAAGAAAAGAAAAAGAAAAGGTGAAAAACACAGAGACAAGATATAAGAGTTTAAAAGAAGCATAGAAAAAAGGAAGGAAAGAAATAAAAATAGCTTGTTACAATGTTAACAGATTTAAGACTAGAGGTTGGAAATTAGAAAACCTGCTAGGTTGGGCAGAAGAAGAAAAAACAGCAATTTTGGACATAACAAAAACAAACATTACAGAAAAAAAAGTGAAAATTCTGTTATATAATCTTAATACAAAATTTAAGGGTTATTGGGCAAGTGTGGTTTTGGACAAAAAGAAAGGATCAGGTATTGAGATTTTGATAGATAAAGCTTGGGAAAAACATGTTAAAGCAGTTAAAAGATTTAGTAAATACATGATAGAAGTAAGACTATACTTTAAACAATTAGTACTGATAGTAGTAGGTGTGTATATCCCACCAAACAACAAACTGATCAGTAAGAAGATATAGCAAAAAATCGTAGAAATAGCATCAAATAGAAGAAAGAACACAGAAGTAATTATACTTGGAGATTTCAATCACACAGTAGACAACATACTAGACAGACTAAATCCACAAACAACAGAATACAAAAGACTACCAATCTTCAATTGGCTTAAGAGACA